TTAGGCAGTAGGGGGTTGGAATTCCCTTTTGCAGGCCGGGTGTGTGAGCCATAAACATTTGTCATAGGAACCCTGGATTTACAGGGACAAAGAGCCCTGAGAACAGGAACAAATGGACTCAAGGCCCATAACTCCCCTCCATCAATCTTTACTTCTGGATTGTGCAAGACTCTGGCTATTGCGTAAAGCGGCTCCTGGCAGCCTCCAGTGATGGACGGGGTAGCGATAAGAGGCACATTTCTGGGAAGAAAGAATGTGCTTGGCCTGGCAGGATGGGGTCGAGGGAGTTGCTAGACAGGGGGCCCAGATATAAAACAGACCCTACACACAGAGATATGTGGACAAGGCACTCCAGCGTCCAAGTTGGGATGGGAGGCAAAGATTGGCCAAACTAACTCCAAGAGAGGGCAATTTGGAAGGGGCAGGAGTTTTAGCATTGTTTCTTCTCGGTATTGTAATAATTGTATTTTCAGCCGCCACTTTTTATGGAATCAACAGCAAACTTAATTTCTTTTTGGAAAATGGTTTCCCATTGGGAAATTATGCATGAAGGTACTTACCCTCCATATGCAAAGGGCGGGCTCAGACTTGAAATTAGACCTAGTAGGGAATCTCTTGGGGCTTTGCATCTTGACAAAATAAGACAAAAACAGAAAGAACGAGAAGAAGAGAATCAACCACAGCTGGTTGCATGCATCTTAGAAGCAATCCCCTGCTACCTGAGAGCTCTTAAAGGACTGCAGTGAACAGAAAATGCAGCTCTTACCTGGCTTGAAACATAGATGTATTGGCTCAAATAAAAATTCCAGACATAGATGTTGAGTTGGGGTTTGGTTTTTCCCTTCCATCATCTCTTGACTGAGCCTACTGTGACATTGCCTCCATTATCTACACAGGTATTGCGTTCATGGTGGCAAAATGGTTGCAGTAGCTCCTTCTTGCATCCTTCCAGGATCAGACCTCATGGAAAAGGGCAAATGCAGGGTTACTGGACTAGGGTTAAATTGTCTGCCCTCTGTCTTGAGTCAGCTGCTCTTCCTTGAACCCATCACTGAAGCCAGGAAGAAGGATTGTACCAATTTTTTTTAGACAGAGGGCTTATGCTGCAGCCCAGGCATAGGGGTAAAGTCAGCACCACCAGAACCATGTGGATGGAGAACAGTGGATAGATGGATCCACAAGTGACAGCTGAGGGCTGCTGGAATTATTAGTGTGAGAGAATTACAATAGGCAGCCAAAAAAAATCAACAAAAGTCCATTGTAGGCTGGGCAGGTGGCTCATCTACAATCCCAGCACTTTGGGAGGCCAAGGCAGGACGATGGCTTGAGACCAGGAGTTTGAGACCAGCCTGGCCAACATGGCAAGACCCCATCTCTACGAAAAATACAAAAATTAGCCAAGCATGGTGTCACATGCCTGTAATCTCAGCTAATTGGGTGGCTGAGGCACAAGAATCACTTGAACTTGGGAGGCAGAGGTTTCAGTGAGCCAAGGTTGTGCCACTGCACTCCAGCCTGGGCAACAGAGTGAAACTCTGTCTCAGGAAAAAAAAAAAAAAAAAAGCATATTGTACTTTCCAATATATTCCTTCTCCTTTTAAGTTAGTTATAGTCAATTGTACTTTCCAATATATTCCAATATTTTTTGTATGTTAGCTAAGATCAGTTTCTGTTGCTTGTACTCAGAGAACCCTGAATAATAAATGAAACTTGAGCTTTGTAAGCTTGGGTGGAGATTTGACCCTGTGTCATGGAAACAATAATTGCCGTCCCATACAAGTGTAGCTCTAAAATCTTGGCTTCTCTGGGAAGCAACATTACTCAACAGTTTCCTAACTGGTGTTAACATGGGGTTAAAATACTTTGGCACCAACAGGCACCCTCCCATGGCTTTCAGTTAAAATAAGAGAAGAAGATACACATCGGAAACCCATCCCAGCCAGAGTTCTCTGATTGACAGAATCTGAGTCTTAGAGTCTAAAAGAAATTAGTATGAATTCTGACTTTCTCATACTCAAGTCATGAGACTTTAGGTAGGTCACTTAATCTCCCCAAGCCTAAATTTCCCACTCTGTAAAGTGTGGATGATAAGAGTCCTTGCTTTGCCAGGGTGATTGTGACCATTAAATGAGAAATGATGTATGAAGTGCTTGGCACATTGCATAACCCATGGAAACAATTCTTTTTTTGTTTTTTTTTTGAGACGGAGTCTTGCTCTGTCGCCCAGGCTGGAGTGCAGTGGTGTGATCTTGGCTCACTGCAAGCTCCGTCTCCCAGATTCATGCCATTCTCCTGCCTCAGCCTCCTGAGTAGCTGGGACTACAGGCACCCATCACCATGCCCAGCTAATTTTTTGTATTTTCAGTAGAGATGGAGTTTCACCATGTTAGCCAGGATGGTCTTGATCTCCTGATCTCGTGATCCACCTGCCTTGGCTCCCAAAGTGCTGGGATTACAGGCATGAGCCATCGTGCCTGGCTGGAAACAATTCTTAATCCATCAGGCATGCTATTACCATCATCACTGTATTAGTTTCCTCTTGCTGCTGTAACAAATGAATACCAAGGCAGTGACTCAAGACAGCACAAATATATTGACTTATAGTTCTGTTGTTCAGAAGTCCTAATGGGTCCCACTGGGCTAAAAATAAGGTGTCAGCCTGGCTGGGTTCCTCCTGGAGGCTCTAGGAAAAAAAAAATCAATTTTCTTGTATTGTCCACCTTCTAGAGGCCACCCATGTTCCCTGGCTCAGGTTCCCCTTTTCCCTCTTAAAGCCGGCAATGTTGCACCTCCCTGACTTGGCTTCTGTTGTGATGCCTCTTTCTCCGACCACAACTGGGAAAAGTTCTCCACTTTTAAGGATTCCTGAGGTTAGGTTGGGTCCACCTAGATAACCTAGGCTGATCTTCCAATCTCAAGGCCCTTAACCTTAATCACATCTGCAAAGTCACTTTTGTCAGGTCCGTAACATATTCACAGGATCAAATGACTAGAAAGTGGACATCTCTGGGGGTCATTCTGCCTAACACACACATTGTTACTATCTTCATCTTCATTATCATCAGTACAAAGAAGCTGGATTACCCAGAACCATGCATAGTTTGCATATTGCATGACTATAAAAGAGTATTTTATAGAATATGATGAAATCTAGCAGAAGTAGTTATGAAGGAATGACAAGAGGACAATTTACTTGGCAAGGTGGCCAGTGGGCAAGACTGAGAAACTGGTTGCAGTGACAGGAATCACATTTCTGAACCAAAAGCAAAACATCAAAAGGCCATGGTCTGACAAATGTGAATACTTAAGTGGACATTAGGTGAGCATACTGGGAAGACATAAGAGGGGAGGTGGTCACAGTTGTAGAAGCAGATTTTGGAGTGATCCCATTAAAGTAAACTTAAAGGCTACTATGCCAAAGGACCAATTTAACAAATGGAAGAAATAATTATCTTTCAAAATGTCAGACCTCAAGGAGAAAGGTTTGTGACAAATTAAGAGTGTGGAATTTGAATATTTTACACTAATAACCAGTGTTTCATTCCTCAATAGTGACTCATTTTCTTTTCTCTCTCTCCATACCAACCCCATCTCTCTCACACAGACACACATGCTCCCTAGTACCCATGCCTTGGGAAATGAGAGGACTCAGCCTTAATTTATGAAACTCAGATAACATGGGAGGCACATCAAGCAGAAGTGTATCCAAGGGCCATATCCTTGAGAATTTCAGAAAGAATCTGGGAATGTTACAAACATGGTTGATGCTTTGAGAACCCAGGTTCTAGTCTGGATGAAGTCTTGGCATGTTCTTAGAGTTACCTGGGGCTCCAAGCTTTGGTGGTTGGGAGACTTTCACTGTGACAAGCATCACTGCTGAAATCCGTCTGTGGGCTAGGCTTCTTCATTCACTTAGTATCTGGGAAAGGAGGAGAAGAGTGGCTTCCTGCCATTTGTCCAATCCAATGCTACATACTTGTCTAAAGTCAAATATGCAGAAGTCATTCTAGACCCTGGAATAGGAGGTGAGCAAAGCAGACTAAATCCCTATGCACAGGGGCTTATTTTCTACCGTCCATCTCTCCTTGGTAAAGTTCTACTCACCTTTGAGACCGACCGTGGAAACCACATCAGTCATTCATGCATGAACACATTCCTATATCCTGTCAACATCTCTTAAAAACCTACCATGCTAGACACTGAACCTTGCAGAGGTGTGAGAAAGTCTTTCCCCCAGAAGCTCAAGTGCAGAAGATGAGAGGTGAGGAGTAAAGATGTACACACATGGTGCCATGGGGGCAAGGCGAGAAGCAGAACCAGTGCTAGGAGTATAGATTGGCCAACCCCAGACCAAGGGCAGAGGTGTCCTCAGAGGAGGTCTCCCTGGGGAAGAAGGTCAGGAACAGCATCCCCAGGGGATAACTGGGTCAGGGTGGAGTGGGGTTGGTGCTGTGGAAGCCCTCAGTGTGGGACGGCTCATGCAGTTTCAGGGAAGCCTGGGAATCCAGGTAGGTGGAAGAGCAGAATGGGCGGGTGGGGGGCATGTGGGTGACAGGGAGAGCTAGAGAGTGGCGGGCAGCTACCGGGGGGCCTGTGGCCACATTGCAAGTGTTTTTTGGGGTCAGAGGGCCTGGGGGGCGTGAAAACTGCCTGCCATGGTGACCCCCACACCAATGGTTATGCATTATGACAGTTTGACCACAAAAAAGTACCCCATCTTACCCCCGATCTGTTTCAGGAAACGGTTAGCCACAGAAACCCTTTACCCTAATATTGAACAATCCTTCCTCTTTTGAAACTGAGGAGCTGCTTGCCTGCCCTTGCAGCTAAGGGTGGCTGAATCTACCTGAGGACCTATTAGGATGTCTCCTCACAGCTAAAAATCCCGCCTTAATAGTATACTCGTCAATCCAAGATTACCTCAGTATTTCCTGTTTTTATTCTATAAAACTGACTCTCCTTTCTAACACCTTTGAACCCCTGCTGAAATGAAGGTGACAGCAGGCTACCCCCTTGCTGCAATTTTATGGATAAATGACATTTGTTTATTTGATCTCAGATGCAGTGTTGTCTTTGGCACTAGAAAGTGTGACATGGAAGATTCTATCACGATGAGAATACCGCTTACTGAGGGTTTGCAATGGACCACTGATCAGCACTTCACATAATCTGCACAAAATCTCCCATTAAGTAAGTACTCTTGCCTTCATCAGCATCGTCTTCACTTTATAGGTAAAGGAAGTAAGGTACAGAGATGAGAATGAGCTTGCCTGAAGTCACACAGCTGGTAACTGATGAAAATGGGGTTTGAACCTAGGCAGCCTGGCTCAAGATTCTGCACTTTTCCCTACTATATGAGGTGGTTCTAGTACCAGCGAGGTTTTTCTTCACATTTTTGAGGGCCTGTGGCAGTTTTTGAGTTTGGAAATGATGCGCGAGAATTTAGACCTCTGATGGACTGCTTTACCATTCCTGAGGGATGATTGGGTGAGGGTGGGGAGGCTGACGGGGGTGGTCCAGACACGAAGCCCAGGCAGACGCCCCTGAACCAGGGCAGCGGCAGCCGGGATGGAGGCAAGTGTGAGCCGTGAGAGACCTTATCCAGCAGGCTGACACTTTTCCAGGCTGGAGTCTTTCACTCCAACCACAGAACTTGGAATGACAGACGGGTAGGGCAGATAGCATTTTATAGAAGATGAAGAAACTGAGGTCAAGGGTGGGTCACTTGCCTAGAGTCACTCAGCAAACTTGTGGAACCAGATTCCAAGGGTTCACTGGCTCTCGGTTGTGGACCTGGAGGGAAGGTATAGCCCCAGACACAAAGCCGGAGTCCCAGGACACACCTGTTGCTCCTGCCTGTGGGGTGTCTGAGCAGCTCATGCTGTATCCTACCTGCACCTCATTACAACAGTTCCTGAAAGGGACACTGGAGTTAGAGTTTGAAAGGCACATTTATATAAAGTGTCACTTGGTCTTCAGGACAAATGCAAAACCTGGATTGTGATTTCTGTTTTGTGGATGTGGTTTAGGGGTTAATTGATAAACCCAAGGAGACGCAGCTGCTAGATAGAGCAGCTAGGTCCAGTTTTTGGCTTCGAAGTCGAGAGGGCATTGACTGCATGAACTGCCTTCATTATCCACTCACCTCATTAAGAGCATTGGCAAGACTGAAATTGACCCTAAGCATGTGCATGCTTTTTTTAAAACATAACTTAAAGGGTAAGTGTAAAGATTCACAATGCACTAGAAAGTGGGGGTGAGCTCTAGCAGGGCCTTTTCTGATATTCTGAGAGGTCATTTAAATCTTGTCTGGTCTGTTTCCAGGCCCTGAAAGGCACCAGGCTTGCTTTGACTGGCTGCCCTCAGAGTGTATGAAGATGAGAGTGTTATTAGAATCCAAAGTCACTCATTGGCCAGTGCTGGTAAACTAAAATCCGAAATGTGTGCAAAATGCGTTTTCTCTTTGGAGAAAGTGACATCTCATCTGAGTGCCTCGGGCCCCTGCAGGATGTTATCTGCTGAGAAGAAATCACACATGCCAGGTTATCTGTCTTCAGGTGATTTCTTCGAAGTGTGGCGGCACCTCCCTTGATGACTGCTGGGGGGTATAATGAATCACCCACTTGCGGGAGAAGGCTGAAGAATTTGCTTTACCAGAGATACAGAAGTGGAGGGAATGCACAGGTATTGAAGTGTGTGTGCACGCATATGTGAATTTACATGCTTTGCATGCCCCTGTGTGCACGCATGTGTGCATTTGTGTGTGCACGAGTGCACTGATGTACACACATGTGCATCTCCAGCCCTGCTGAGGTCTCATGGAGGGGCGGATCAAGACAGTTCCTTAGAGACGACTACTAGCAAGGCTTTTATGGAGGTGGCCTGGCCCTGGGAAGCTTAGAGCATCAGATTGTGAAGCAAAATTTTACATAACGACTCTAGGAAGGATTGTGGGGTAATGGAAGGAATACCAATCCAGGAAGCAAGGCACTGAGCCCTGTCTCTGCCCCCAGCCTGCTGGGCGACTTCAGGAGACTCATCAGCCTCCTGAGCCTCATTTTCCCCACATGTGAAGCTGTGAAACCCAAACTCCTTGCCAAAGTGTTCCAGGTCTGTAGTAGGTGCTGTGGTGCGTGACTCTCCTTCGGGACTGAGCCCCCTGTCTCCCAGCTGCTGGAGTGGGTGCTCCTCAGAAACGAAGAGTCCTTCATCCAAGGTCCTCCCGTCCCTAGGGAGCAGCCAGCTGGGGACATACCCGTGCATGTGTCAGGCCCAGTCCCCGGCCTGATACCTCTGCAGGCCATCCCAGCTCCATGCTCCCTGAGGGACTGGCAGAATCCTCTCTTGTGAATGCACGGCAGCCTGGCTTCTCTGCTAGACTTCTACTTCCCTTTGACTCCCTTTCAAACGGACAGTTCCAAGAGCACTGCCTGATCATGCCCCTGCCTACAGACTTTCATCTCAGGAGATCCCAGAACAACACGCCAGTGGTCTGCGCCTCTGTGACGGCCCCTCCTCCACCGTCCCTCACTCTCTTCATCAAAGCACACTCCAGCCTCAGGGCCTTTGCACCTTCCTTCTGTAGAAAACCCTTCCCCCCACCCTTTGTAGATGACTTCCTACCATTTAAATCTCAGCGAAATGGTCATGTCCTCAGTAAGGCCTTCCCTGACCACCCCATCTAGGATTCCTCCATCAATTAATCTGAATACATCACTGTTTTATTTTTTCTCAAGGCCTTTATCACTCCCTGACATTAGGTTTGTTAATTATGCAGTTGTTTATTTTCTGTCACCCACTCCTTTGAAATGAAAGTTCCCTGAGCACAGGATCTGCAGCTTGGCTCTCTGCCCCATCCTCAGTGCCAGCAAGTGAACCTGGAACAAGGTAAGCCCTTGACAAATATGTGTAGAGTGAATGGGAGACAAGGTGGTACCAGACAGGGTCCTTAACCTAGGATTTGGGATATCCACACACTTGGATGGTGCATTAAGTGTAACAGATGGCTGCAAGTTGTGTGGCTTAAAGCAACAGGGACTTATCCTCGCACTGTTCTAGTGACCAGAGTCCTAAATGAAGGCATTGGCAGGGCTGTGCTCTCTCCAAAGGCTTGCAGGAAGAACACCTTGCCCAGCTTCTTGTGGCTACAGCCGTTCCTTGGCTTCCTTGGCCACATCATTCCTTTTCTTTTTTTCTTTTCTTTTTTTATCTTTTTTTGTTTGTTTGTTATTTGAGAGGGAGTCTTGCTCTGTCACTCAGGCTGGAGTGCAGTGGCACGATCTTGGCTTATTGCAACCTCCCCTTCCTGGGTTCAAGCAATTCTCTTGTCTCAACCTCCCGAGTAGCTGGGATTACAGGCGTGCACCACCATACCCGGCTAATTTTTCTTTGTAATTTTAGTAGAAATGGGGTTTCACCTTGTTACCCAGGCTGATCTCAAACTCCTGACCTCTTGATCTGCCCGCCTTGGCCTCCCAAAGTACTGGGATTATAGGCGTGAGCCACCACGCCTGGCCACATCATTCCAATTTCTGTCTTGCTGGTCACATTGTCTCCATATTCACATGAACTTTTCCTGTTCTCTGTATCTTCCCTTTCATCTCTCATAACAACACTTGTCATTGGATTTAGGGCCCACCTGGGTAATCCAGGATGCTCTCATCTCCAGATCCTCAACTTGCTTGTCTGCAAAGACCACATTTTTCCCCCAAGAAGCTTACATTCATTGATTCCAGAGACTAGGAGATGGACATACTGGTTGTGGGGCCACCGTTTGACCTATTAGAGGCAAGAATAAAAATCCATCTTCATTTTGCCTAAGCTTTAACCAGTATTTAGGATTTGCTTCAATCGTGAATATAGGCATGAAGCAGAGTCCCCTCAGCGGTGTCTATGAATTTGTCATTAGTTGTTATCACAGAGATTTTTGCCATAGGAGAAAAAGATGCTCATCATTTTCATAAACACAACCCTTATCAGACTCCCCATTAGTTCTTATTATAGAATCTGTTACTAGAGAGCCCATATGTTGTCCTTTTACCAATTTCTTTTTAAACTAGTTTGAAAGGTTGGGCATGGTGTCTCATGCCTGTAATCTGAGCACTTTGGGAAGCCAAAGTAGGTGGATCACTTGAGGCTGAAAGTTTGAGTCTAGCCTGAGCAATGTAGCAACACCCTGCCTCTATGAAAAATTTTAAACAGTTAGCTGAACATGGTGGTGTGTGCCTGTAGTCCCAGCTACTTGGGAGGCTGAGGTAGGAGGATCACTTGAGCCCAGGAGTTTGAGGCTGCAATGAACTAGGATCATGGCACTGCACTCCAACCTGGGCCACAGAGTGAGACCCTGTCTCAAAAAAAGGAAAAATTGAATAAAATAAGAATAAATAAACTATTTTGATAAGCATATTGCAGTTTAATTGGGAGCTCTGTATTCCTGTGTATTTCGTTTTATGCATTTACAAACATTATTCTGCGAAGGGATCCACGGGTGTTTTGGGAAAGCCAGGGGAGGCTAAGAGCCTCTGGATGGAGGGTCTCAGAGGTGTTTTGGGTTTTTTTTTTTTTTTTAACTTTACCAGATTGGGCCATTTTTTTTTTTTTTTAACATATAGTTTACTATTGATTTTTTTTTTTTTTTTTTTGATCAGTAGTAACACTCTCAGAGGCAAGACAGTGAGCTCTCCCTCTGCGGTCAGTACTGAGACCCAAGAGCAGAGGGCTGGGCTTTGAGAGAGGAAATGTTCAGTGCTATGATTCCTTGCACCTCTCAAAGATGTTTCCTGTCATCACATGATGTTGACAGAGCACAGGGTGGCAGACCATATGGAAAGGGCTTTGAGATCCACAAGAAGAGAAGCAATGCCACTTTGAAGCCCCTGCATCCATAGCTGGCTGGTGAACAGTCACCAAATGAAGACACACGTGAAAGATGGTGTGTGTAATGGGCCAGCAAGACATTGCTCCTGTTCAAGGAAAGACCCCACGGAGAACACTTGCAGCTTGTTCTCTGAGAAGCTGCTTCCCATAGTCCACGGGCGAGTCAAGGCTGAACCAGCTTTGCAGAGCACAGAACTGTTCTGGTTTAAGCCTCATCCCTGTGAGCCAGTCCAGGGCATGGTGAGTCAGGCAGCTGTGGTCCATTAAAGTGGGTGATAAATGTTTCATACCCTGAGCTAGAGGGCACCACTGACTTCTGCTCACTTCCCAGTTGTCTGCAGTTGTGATGGACTTGTCTCTCCATTAACTGTGAGAATTATGTTAAAGCCGGACCTATATCAGGTCAGCATTGCTATCTTGCCTGAAAAACAGATTAGATGACGCTCAGGACCTATGTCTATCTACCCAGAGATTATTGCTCAGCCTGATGTATTTTGATGATGCAGATGCTAAGCTTTGTATTTTATGTTTATTATTTTTTTGAGAAAAAATCTCTGCCACCCAGGCTGTAGTGCAGTGGTACATTCAAAGTTCACTGCAGCCTCAACCTCCCAGGCTCAAGTGATCCTCCCACTTCACCCTCCATTGTAGCTAGGACTACAGTTTCACGCCACCATACCTGGCTAATTTATTTTTGTTTTTGTAGAGAGGAGGGTCTCACTATGTTGCCTAGGCTGGTCTCAAACTCCTGGACTCAAGTGATGCTCCCTCCTCAGCCTCCCAAAGTGTTGGGATTATAGGTGGGAGCCACTGCACCTGCCTTGGATGTTAAATTTTAAAGAGGAACTGGATAACATGATTTCAAATAAGAGTTCATACCTGTCGCCCTTGTGTTTGCACATGAATCCAACTTGAACTTGTGTCATGTAGGCATCTGCCTGTTCAAAGTCACCTGGGAAAAGAATTTACATTGGACTTGAAGTGAGGTGCATCAGCTGCCAAGGACATCACTAAAATATCAATCTCAGCTCCATTATAGGTGAAGTGGACAAACAAACCCCTGATTCTTCCTACCTTACAGGGTCCTGGGGGGCTGGAATGAGAGAGTGAATCATTAAAGCTTCCACTGTAGTGGTCCATCGTCCTGCTTATTCCTTGTGGATGAGCTTGATTGTGCTCAAGTGTTAACCCCACCTTTGGAAGGGGTGACCCTCCTTCCATGGTACTCATGGTAATTTATTTTCCCTTGTTGGGTCTTGAGTTAGGTAGGACCATGTGACACAGCCCCAGAGGAGGAGACACGAAGGGAATTCTGCTTGGATGCTTCTGTGAAGGTATTCCTGGTTTTCCAAAAAATAAGATAGTAATTCTCCTCTCTTTGCTTTTGGACAGGTTGTGCAAGGACGGCTCTGAAAGTCATCTCAAAACCATGAGGGCAGCATGGCCCACCTGCTGAAGATGGCACAGTGGAAAGGTGAAGTCTCAGGGCTCAGACGAGATTGTGAGCTGGTGAATTAACACAGGAGCCTTCTTTCCCCAAGTTCCTTGTCCTATGAGGTTATACCATTGACTGTTTATGCCATTTTTAGTTGAAGGTTCTTCTGCTTGCAGCCCCAAGCATTCTAACTGACATGAAAGGTCTGCTGTAGTCATGAGCAGATTGTGGCAGTATATTTTGATAGTCTAGGTGGAGAAACCTTAGTGCAAGGGTTTCGTGATAGCAGTTCTGCCTCTCTAAGGATATTCCCCTTCACTTCTGGATTTACAGCTATGATCCAGATACTGAGTACACCCTCATTCCAGTGGTACTATCTCAACAGGCTGCATGGAGAGTAATGGAAAAAGATACCACCTTGACCAAACTGACTTTGACCCCCTGGAGCTCTCACAGTATTTCGGGAGCTGTGAAGGGCAGACCTACCTGTGTTTCCATCAGGCCCCAGTTTCCTCATTACTTTGCTTAGCTTCCAAGCTGAGATCATTATTAATTAATACACTTATAGTTATTAATATATGGTGACATTAATTAACTATAATCTATTAAATGCCCCCTGTGTGTCTGGTCTGATGCTACATGTTGTGTTGCATTTTCTCATTGATCCTCCCAACAAGCCAAGAAGATGAGTTTTGCTATGCATGTTTTACAAGAAAGAACGCAAGGTTCAGATAATTCATTAATGTGACCAAAGGCCCACATTCTGATTGGAAATCAGCAGAGGTAGGATATCACCTCGCAATTCACCCTGGTTCCACTTCTCTAAGAGGAGTTTCTGCAGAGGGAAGCATCTGTTTTAGAATTGCACCAGTTCTTGGCTTGTTCTGGTGATAAAGAAGAAACAACATTAACCTTGATGTCAAGAACCTGGGATTGAATCCCGGTCAGTCTACTGAGGCGATCCTGGGAGGAGGGGGAGGTGTCGTGGCATGGATTGATTTTTTTTTTCTCCTCTGAGTCCTAGTTGTTTTTTATTCTCTAAAAGGGATAGTAGTCCTTAAACTCCAGGTAATTTATTGTCAAAGGAAATAGCAAATGTGAAATTGTCCAGGTACAGTACAATAGGTACCAAAACCCTCTGTTTAGTTCATTCATTTATTCACTCTTCACTCATCCCTTATATCAACTTCTGGGTCTGCAAGATGCAGCATGTAAACACCCTGGCAGTGACCTTGAACACTCTGGTAGGAGTCATTCTCCATCACCTACCAGCTGTGAAATGATGGGCAGTGCAAGTAACCTTAGTAGGTCTCACGTTCTCTTCTGTAACAAAAGCATTTCTTTTGTGACAGCTACACTTTCATCATTTTAAATGTGTGAACTCATTAAATCTTCTCAATAGCCATCAAAGTCGGCGTATAATTATCTCCTATTACAGACGAGGAAATTGAAGTACAGGGAAGTTAAAAACTTGGCCATGTTGGCCAGGCCAGGCGCGGTGGCTCACACCTGTAATCCCAGCACTTTGTGGGGCTGAGGCGGGTGGACCACAAGGTCAGGAGATTGAGACCATCCTGGCTAACACGGTGAAACCCTGTCTCTACTAAAAAATACAAAAAATTAGCTGGGCATGGTGGCGGGCGCCTGTAGTCCCAGCTACTCGAGAGGCTGAGGTGGGAGAATGGCATGAACCCAGCAGGCGGAGCTTGCAATGAGCTGAGATTGCGCCACTGCACTCCAGCCTGGGCGACAGAGCGAGACTCCATCTCCAAAAAAAAAAAAAAAAAAACTTGGCCATGTCACATGGCTGGTGAGTGCTGGAATTGGAAGCTGATCCCATAAAATTGTATGGTAGGACTCACAGTCCTGTCCACTATTTTACTCCTAGAGGTACTGTGAGGAACAGATGTCAATTGCATGCAATAGTGTGGCTAGCACATAAGAAGCAGTCCAAAAATGTCAGCTTATCATGTCAGTGAGATAGTGTGATGGTCACATAAACAAGTTCTGGGACTGGGTTACCTGGGTTCTACCCCAGCTCCATTGCTAAGATGTACAAAATCTTGGACAAGAATTTCATTGTCCTTATTAGCAAAAGACAAAGAACAAGAAAATTCTACATCTGAAGGTTTTGAGAGGATTTATCAAGCTAGCACAGGGAAAGTATTAGAACAGATCCTGGAACATTTTAAATGCATTCTGAGCATTGGTTTTTATTTAAAACCTCTTGCTGTGTTGGTTTTATTTAAAACCTCTACCTGAGCCACAGCTGTGAGGGCTCATGCTGCAGATCTTATTCACCATTGTCTTCTTGCATCTCAGAGCTTAGTGCTCAGCACAGAGTCTGATGGAGGTGCTTAATAGAAATAGGTTGATCTGAATATAGCCTGGGATGCTTTGGGTACTATTACCTCTTTGTGGCATGGACATTCATAGGACCTGTGCATTAACTGAGTCCTTCCTGAGTGAGTCACTCATGTAACAGGCTCCAGTGGGACAGATAAATGCCAAGCAGCTTGGTATGAGAAGGGATGGGTTGGAGTGGAGAAGCCTGGGATCATGAGCCCTTTCATATTTCTTTTTGCTCTGACGTTGAAGGCATTTGTAATTCTCCTGTATGTTCATTCAACCATCCACGGTCGGGAGCGTCCATTTCTGTTTATTTCCTCAAGAGAGGCAAAGCTGAACATTTAATTGCTCCTTTCTTCCTTCATCTCTCTGAAAATGGAGAACCTTTAGTCATGTGGGCATAGAACACACTTCATCCTTTGTCTCAGGGAGAAGCCACGTTACACATCCTAAAACTCCCTCTTCTCTCATTCCTGTTCTCAGTGGCTTCTTTCAACTTGACCTCTCAAATCTCTCTAATATGCCCCTTTCCTCACATGTGCACACCCTTGCCACCCGGCCACTGGTTTCCTGCAGCAGGCCTCTCTTCCTGCCTTCCAGTACTGCCTTTGGTCTGGACTCTTGTAATCCATTCTGCATCCTGTGGCCAGAGCAATCTTTCCAGATATGATCATCTCAATTCCCTGTTTGTCATGCTTCGATGGCTTCTGTCTACTGGCTTCTACCTGAAAGCATTGAGCAAACAGATGCACCCTGTGCCCTCATGGAGCCGGTGGCTAGTCTGTGCTCATTGTCCACAGCTGTGACCATTTCTGCCATTCATACATTTGGGGCACTATGAGTGTGGACATAGGGAAGGCTTACCTAGTCTGTCTAGTTGGGATAAATAACAAGGTGCCTTGGGAGTTGCCATGTGAGCTAAATGTTGATGACTAGGAGAAGTTGACCAGACTCTGCAGGGCATACCAGGGAGAGGGGGAAAAACCAGCACTAGGACAAATGGATATGGGGAACCTGCCTCTGGGTTGGCAATTATAGGACTTGTACATGTTGTCACTTGAATGATGGTCACTTGCTTATTTGTGAGCATCTGCTTTCTGCCCTGTCCCCAGAGTTTCCTGAGGCCAGAGGCCCTGTCTTCTCTTATTCCACATCCTCAGTGCTTAGTAGACACTCAAGAAATATTACTGTCAGTGGGAGACTAAATAAAGAAGGGAATAGTCTCTCTTCATCGTTTGTGTGAAGACTCCTCCTGCTGCCCCACGTCTCACTGTTGTTGCCTTTCCTGCTCAGAAATGTATTGAATCTCTCATTTCTTCTAGGTTGGCCCAAGATACACCTCTTTTGAGTTAGATACAGAGAATTCAGTGGCAGCACCTGCAGGTAGACACAAAATTCTGCAAATGCTACTCTTTGAAGATTAGATGCCTGCACTCCCTATCCATCTGCCTTTCAAGAAAATGTGTAGTTAGGGTGCTCCATGAAGCAGCAGTTGTGGGGGGTGTGTATATGTGGTGTGAGTGTGTGCATGTGATGTGTGATATATGCATGTGTTTGTGACTCAACATGGTTTAGTGGAAGTTATATTCCTACCTTTGGATTCAGGCTGTAAGTTCTAATCACCTACATGGTCATTTATTGCTATGTCATCACTTGACCTCTTGGATCCTCAGTTTCCTTTTCAGTAAAATGAGCATAAGTGTCCCCTTGGAAAGACTGTTATGAGGATTAGATATACTGCATTTAAAGCACCTGATATCTAAGGTTTTGATTAATTCCACTTCTCAACTCACGTGTTACAATGCTCAGGGGTTCATCCCATGCCAATGAAGGGCATTGACAGCTTCAGGTTTGAACATACGAGCTAGACCTGGCCAGGGGCCCTTTGAGCCAAGACAAGGACAGACATGAGCCATGGACTCTTGATCCAGCAGCATCCTAGAGAAGCCATAATGTTCAGCCTGATTTTTTTCTGAATGGGCCTTGGGGAGGGGCTGGCAGAATTCAGCCTAATGGAATATAAATTAGGTGGTTGAATCCGCTTGTCTTCATTGGGCTCTGTCCAGCACTGAAATTTCTGAAGCTGAAGTCATGGAGGAGACCTCCAAGGAATATGGGCAGCTCCACCCTTTCCCAAACTCACACTTTCCTTCAGGCCCTGACCAGTATCCAAGGGGAGGCTAAGAATCAAAATAGCCCACTTTTTATCATGTGTCCATTAAGTCCCAGACATTGAAATGGGCACTCTGCATGTGCTATTTAATTCAGTCCTCGAGGGCAGTGACTCTCAACTGGGGGTGATTTTGCCCCCCAGAGGACACTTTTCAATATCTAGAGACATGCCGATTAACAAAAACCACATGATGATTTCAATAAATGCAGAAAAAGCATTTGACAAAATCTGTAAACTGTCATTATGAAAAAGGTCAACAAATTAGAAATAGCAGTTTCTCAACTTGATCAAGTTTGTCTATGAAAGCCTCACAGATAATGCCCTACTTAATGGTTTTAAAAACTGAAAGCTTCTCCCTTGAGAGCTGGAAGAAGGATATTTACTCTCACTACTTCTATTTAACCTCTAATATGTTAGAGGTCTGGCCAGGGTAATGAGGCCAAAAGAAGAAAAATTAAATAAAAACAAAAATGAATAAAGTATACTCAGATTGGAAAGGCTGGTGAGGAGGGGAAAATGCAGTGACTGCCTTGTGTCTACAGCCTGACATCTGAGTTGTCTTTGGAGTTGCCGACATCTGAGGGGAAGCTCAGCAGACTCTAGAACCCCAGGAGTGCTCTCACCTCTCCTTCCATCCCCACCAGCTTCCAGGAAACTTTGGGGTACATGGACTTGGGAAGCCATATGTGGAGCCACATACCAAAACACCCATTCCTGCAATGTGAGGTACTTGGTTTCTACCTCTCTCCAGACACCATGATAGACCCAAGAAATACAGACATGAGTGAAATGTGGTGCCTACCCTAAAGAAGTGTCCCATGTAGCAAAGGAGAAAGAGCCTGATTAAACCAGTGCAGATATGGTGTAGTCCATGAGGGAAGCATATGTAAAGAAGTCTTCCTGGAGGAGGCACTTGGGATGTGCCAAAAAGTGTAGATTTATTTACCAGGCAGAAAGAGTGCATGAAAAAAACCATGAAAATGTAAAAATCATTAGATCTCTTGATCCAAATATTGCTGTCTCTCCCTACTCTCTAAGCTAGGGTATGATTGCATTCCCATGCCTCTCCAAACTTGCTTTGGTCAATGGAAAGTTGAATGAAGTGATTAAGAGATAGAAAATGGTTTGCCATGGTCTTTTCTTCTTGCTGTGATGACAGAATAAAGTTTTATCAGTTTGAGTCACAGAGTGACTACAATGAGCAGATATTCCCCCCACAACTCCTACTCCCAGTTGCAACTTTGGGCATGTAGAGTAAAATTTAGGGGATGTTTGTCTCTGCAGCATAACTTAGCTCACCCTGGCTAAAATATAAAGGCATCACCAAGGGCAGTAGAAAGAGCACAAGAAGGCCAGGCGTGGTGGCTCACGCCTGTAATCTTAGCACTTTGGGAGGCTGAGGCGGGTGGATCATGTGAGGTCGGGAGTTTGAGATCAGCCTGGCCAACAAGTTGAAACCCCATCTCTACTAAAAATACAAAAATTAGGTGGGTGTGGTGGTGGGTGCCTGTAATCCCAGCTACTTGGGAGGCTGAGACAGGAGAATCACTTGAACCTGGGAGGCAGAGGTTATAGTGAGCCAAGATCATGCCACTGCACTCCAGCCTGGGTGACAGAGCGAGACTCCCTCTCAAAATAAGTAAATAGATAATAAATAAATAAATAAATAAATAAATAAATAAATAAATGGCACAAGAAAATATCTGGAGGTGAGAAATAGCCTCTTGGATGTGAAAAACTCTAAAAGCTTAGTATGGCTATTGCATGAAGTATGACACAGGAAAATGGAGACATGACAGGGCAGAATCTGGAGGTTCTGTTATGCTTTACAGAGGAGCTGTGTTGTTTTTATTTTCCTGTAAGCAATGGGGAGATATTAAGAGTTGCGTTTTGAAAAAAAAAAAAATTACACTAGCTGCAATGTGGAGAATGGACCTCCTGGGGAGAATAAACCTCAATGCAAGGAGACTCAGGAGAAGCCTGT